TGGTATAACTGTACAATGACTGCAGTGGATTTTTTTTGTTTGCTTTGTTTCAGTGATTAGTCTGTGCTAGATATCTGAAAACAACTTGGCTTGGTTTCAAGTTGGTACTTGGAATACAGTGAAGCTACCCAGGGTTTATAACAGATAGGTTTGTTGCATGAGAAACAGAAGCAGTATATTGCCTAAAAAGACTGGAGCTCTGTATGCAACAAATTCACATTTCCTTCCATAAGCTTCCAGTTTTGTCATTAGTGAGGCTTGTGTAGTAGGTAGAAGGTGGAGATAATTAAAATAAATATCTGGTGAATCATCTGAAAGTTTTCTTAACTTGTGGAAGGGTTGTTCCTAGCAGCTACAACAGTACGCTGTTTTATATGCGTGTATATCTTCCAGTTCATCCTACAAATGCCAAGTGATATTTGTCAAGACAAATATTAACACTTGGTCTTAAAAGTTAACTTAAATGTATGGAGCCATTCACGTAACTCATTTTAGGTGCTGTGTTGTAGCTTCTGGATACAGAAGTCTTAATTTGTTGCTATTTCACACTTGGGTTTCCTTTACAACACCAAATTTAAGTTTTGAGGTTGTATTGGGGAGGGTTGTTTTGTATTTTTGTTTTTTTGGTTTTTTTAAGAGTGACATTGTGTGGATGAACATTTCAGGGATACTGTGTGAAGCAGGCACCCTAGCGAATGTCAGTGGTCGGGGTGTATGATTTGGTTATCATTGTTTGAGAGAATACTGTATTTGATGGCCTAAGAAGCCTCCTTCAATATTAGGTTCTTGTGTGACTCCAGGCCCAAGCAGGACTTTCATACTGTTGCTAGATCCCGGAAAGCCTGAGCTGAGATGGCTGAGGCCAGGGAGCAGCTTTGGCCTCTACCAGGTTGTTCCAGGAGACAGCGATGATGTAGGAATGTGAAAATATACTTGTGTGTGCAGGGCACCCCTTTATTCTGGCCCTTACAGGCAGCAGGCACATACTGGTGCCTTGGGAGTCTCCTCTCTAAAGGCCTTTCCTTAGTATGTTTTTAAATGTTGTTATTGCCTGAAGGGCAAATCTGAAATGGGTTGTGTGGTGGTAAACTCGATACGCAGTGGTGTACAGTTCCTGCCCTGAGCTGCTTCTGGGCGATGTTAAAAGGGAATCGTGTTGAGCGCAGAAAAGGGATGTAACTTCAGTTGTGTGATGGTCTGTTAATTTTGTGTTCAGTTTTTTGCTTGAAGTTTTCTATTTAATAGGGCTTAGCTAAGGGTTCAGCTAGATGAGAAGAAAGAGCATGCGTGAACAGAAATAAGAATGGGAACGTGGAGAGCACGTGAAGGGAGGTAGAGGTGGAGACTGAGGAACAAGCAGGCAGGAGATGAGTGGATCAGCTACAGCTTGGGGGGAGGAGGGGAGAAAAGGAAGAGAATCCGCATTGCTGCTCTCTATGAAACACTTCACAAAAGCAGTTCATAAAGCAGTCTTAATTTTCTATTTCAGCCGAGGTTCTCTGATGAAAATTCAGGCAAAAAAGGCCAAGAAGGCAGATGTTTCTCCCTGCTTGAGACTGTAGAAAGTGAGGGATTAATTTTATAAATGCTCAGTACATCTGTGACCTGAAAGCAGCTACTGCCCTCTACAATAGCTCTTCATTGCAAGTGTTTGGGTTGCCATGCGATGAACCTGACAGGGAAATAACTTGGGAAATTGGTTATTGTTAACCTTGGTTGTTTTCAGTACTCTGATGGCACAGCCACACAGACAGCTGTACTGGCATAACTTGGAAGGGGTGGCTTCTTCCCTCGTCACCTCTGGTGGAGGATATGACTTTTGCTGGAGGATATGCTTGTGAAGCTATGAAGGTGTGATTCTGTGTGCAGTGGGAAGGGGTTTTTTTCATCACTGCAGAACTGGAAAGAAAGGTAATGCTAGAACAAGGCCTTAGGGAGGCTGGATGGTCCTTTGCTTTCCCCTCTGTAGCTGAAGGCAGTGTTCTGGGGGCTGAAGCCCTTCTGTCAAGGGTGTTCTGTCAAGCAAATGCAAATAATTAATGTGGGTGATTCCTGTTTTGAGTCTTCTGGTCTGTTGTGTTATTTGGGTATTCCTGCAGTGAGGGCTGCTATTGGTGAAATTTATGTCCGATCTGTAACTAACAAATGTTGTGTGGAACAGTGTCGTGTACACAAGATCAAGTGATGAAAGTTTAATGCATTTGTTGGTGTTTACTTGGAGTTTTTTAAACCTTGTAATGTGGATAGATGTGGCTGACGGCTTGCCAGCACCCTTCCCCCTGCCCTCCCCCCATTACTGTTTTATGCAAGAAAGGTTTTTTGAACTGGGTGTCGTAGTGATCAAATAGTCTGTTTCGTGAATCATTTGCTGATGTTACATGGCTTGATGTGGTGTTGGCCCTGGAACTCGTTGCTTGTTTTGTTTCTTTGGAACAACTGATTCATGCAGTCGTGGTATGAACTGGATAGGAGAGCTGGTATAGTTTTGAAGAAGAACGTGTTGTGCAAGATTTTTAACTAGACCAGCTGGCCTGAGCTAGAGGTTGCACGTTGTTGGGCTGGAAACAAGCTTCTTGGGAATGGAGGGGGAAATCCTGAAGCTGGTGTTGGTGTTGAGTGCTTCATCTTGTGAAACTGCAACTTTGAGTGTTCTGCATGAAATGAAAAAGGCAGAGTTTAGAGTGCGTCTTATGATGCTTTTAGTAAGTGCTTATGAGGCGGATGCAGGCTGAATTGGCTGGAACCGCCTAGTTTTCAGAGTTTTGTTGAGTTTCGGTGTTCGGCAAGGATAGGATATGTTATTTGGTATCCTTAACTCTATGCTAAAGCAATGGCTTTTTTAGTGACTTTCCCAGTCTTTTAACATAAATATTTTTATGTTGATTGCAGGTGAATATGTGTACAAAAAACAAGTTGTGTGGTTTTTTTTTCCCTCTTAGTCTAAACATTTATTGGAATGCTAACAGATATGACGTGGAGCGTTTGGAGTGGCATTGTTGGTAATGCAGATGTAGTCATTATAAACTGTCTTTCATGTTCTCTAACATCAAAAGGAAATGGTAGATACATATAAAAGTAGATAATTAGTTTTCTATGGATTTTTTTCAAGTTCCTGATACCACATTAATCACTGTATCACAGCCACTGTGATACTTCCTTTACTTGCCTCTGCATAATCTTCTGTGCTCAGTTCTTGGTGCTTTCAAAATGAGATACACTGTCATTGTCCTGTGGGACTGAGAAGTTAAGGAGGATTCAGAGCATAGTGTGGATTTAGAGGCAGCCTTTCTGAAAGCGAAAGCATTAGAAAGGGAAGTGTCAATAAAGAATTGGATATAGCTCTGCTGCAGAGGAAGAAGCTCCTTAATGAGCAGCTCACTTTTAAGCTTGTTCACACATGGAAGAGTAGTTATTCTGCGTTATATTTGGATTTTGCTTCATTTTAAGTAACCTTCATTTATGAACAACAGTTTCTTAGGGTCTGCCAGACCACATGAACAAGTTACCGTGAAGAGAGCTTTACAGCAGGTAGCTGTATTCTGCTGCCTTCTACTTTGCAGGCGACAGCAGGTTAGCTGTGTGCTACTAGTTTCCAAGGTAAAGGTGTGAGTTGTGGCACTCTAAGCTTCTGCATTTTAAGGCTATAGCATCAGGTGTTCTCACTTCTGTGACTGTGTTACTGAGTTAACCAGTTTATCATTCGTGCAATAACCTCTCCTGCTGCATAGGAGGTGATAGAAATTCGGGGGAAGAAAACAGGAGTCTGTCCCCCCCAGGTTGAAACTTTCAGGGATCACTACCCTAATGCACCTTTAGTGTAAGGTAGTTGCTCGTGCAACATCAGTTACTGAGAAGGTGAGTTGCTGAGATGTTAATTACGAGGTGAAAGTATTTCCTGGTAACTTGTTTGTAGCATTTGGACTGTAGCTGCTAGGCTGCTTTGAAACAGAACAGGTTTTGCAGTGAAGTGGAATGTTTCCAGGAATGAGAATGCCTGGAGGATTTGAGTAGAGCTGTTCCCCTGTCTGAACTCCTCATTTTAGGACATCTTTGTCTTATTGCATGTTTCACATTGGAATTGCTTACCACTTTTTGGTTTACTGAGAATGCTTCTTCTTTTCCACCCGTGTCCTTAGCAATGTGTGGTTTTGTGTGGATTGTTTTGTTGTTGTGTTTGTGGGTTGTTTTTTTTTTTTTTTCCTCTTGCATGTTCAGTGTTCCATCCAGAGGGCAAATCTAGATCCAATTTACTAGAGGCGTGATGGAGAAAGAACAGCAACTCCTTGTGATTCTGGCTGGTAAATGGGAAAGAACAGTAAGGGAATTTAAAGCTTTTTATTACCAAACCTGTTATTTTTCTTCCTCTCAACTTTCCATCAGCAGGGCCTCCTTTTCATCTTACTGTTTTGCCTGCTGCTTTCATGCTGATTGCTGTCGTGTCCCCAACCCCGGACATCACTGCACCTCTGCTCTTCTCTGCCCCTGATAAATGCTCCTACTCATTATTCTCACTCCTTGGTCAAACCTCTATGCCTTTAGGCAGTGGTTTTTTGTTGTTGTTCTTCCACCTTTTGTTTAGAGGATTCTTTTGGAAATTCCTGACACTAGGCAGCCTCAAGCCCCATTGTTTGCCAAACTTGGATTACATTAATCCTGCCATTCAGCTTTCCTCAAATGAACAGGTCCTGGTATTTTGTCAAAATTACACATCAGGTGGTAAAATAATGACTTGCTTAACAGTTGTTCTTGAGTTTCTGCACAGAATATTTGTGTTGCATTTTAGAAGTTAGTTGGCTTTTTTCCCCCATTTTTTGAAGAATATTTAAAGAGTGTCAATTTTAAGTAATGTTTGTGGTGGTGGTGAGTGTTTTTTTTTTTTAAATCTATAAATGAGAGAGGGGTAAAAAGCTGTTTTATAGACCTGCCTAACTACAGAAAGTATTTTCTGATTTCCTCAATTAATACCCAGCCTTGTTTTGTCCTCCTTTTTCAGAGATGATGCTATGAGGAAGGCTGGTGTTGCCCATAATAAATCCAGCAAAGATATGGAGAGTCATGTGTTTATGAAGGCCAAAACAAGGGTAAAGCATCTGTATTTGTTTCCAGAAGTCACTGAGATCTCAAGAGAAGTTTGTAACAACCTGCAGAAATAGCAGACCCGATGTACTTAGTTAACTGGCTCTGCTTAGAGTACATAGTTATGCAAATTCTTGATTTATATGTGCTTCTTTTACCTGAGGGGAAGTGAGGTGTTCCGCACCCAATATATGCATCAAACTGGACTTCAATCTAAGACAGCTTTGCTGGTGCTGCAGCATTTAGTGCATATACAGGACCACATTTAATTTTTATCTGAAGACTTCTGTGTAGTGAATTGCATAGAATTTCCTTTATCTACAATGTAGCACCATTCCTTGTGACCAGTTTGGTGGTCAGGAGAGACTAAGATATCAAAGAAAAGGCTGTGTCAAGAGTAAGACCGAGGGAAATGATGTGGTCTCTGTGAAAGTCTGGTTATCACGTACAGTTCTAGACTCTGCCAAAATGTAAACTTCTTTCCTGGAGCTGTGTTGTGAAAAATTGGATACTGTTGCTGTCTCCAAACAAGCCACATTTGAGATAGAAAATTTTCACCAAGACAAGTTCTAATGCTGATGTAACAAACTGACGCCTGCTGATGGCATCTTCACTGGTGAGTTGGTAGTTTCGTGGGCAGGAAGGTTATCTCAGCCCTCTGCAGTTTCTCAGTTTCTCTTACACATTATGAAGCACACTAATAAAATGCTGCAAAGAGTATTTGTCTTTTCACATCTGAAATATGCTTCTGTCATATACTAGTCTTCAAAGTTGTTAACTTCCTTGTAGGTGTAATACTAACTCAGGTAAAAAAAAAAAGTTCTTGTAGTATGAACGTGACAGCTCAAGGACTAAAGTAAGTCAGTGTACCAAGTAAGCAGGTTCAGTCCTTAAGAAGAAGGAAATAGAATGGATAAGAAATGGAAAACTGATATATTGATTTATGATTATGTTCACATATTGTGAATCCTATTAGTGTGACTGTCACGGAGGTTCTTTCCAGTGAATTTTTGTAATTTCTTGGCCTTCTTGTACCATCAACCACAATGGCCTGTTAGTAGAAATATTCTCACTTAGTTAATGAGCAGACTGTCCCTTGCAAGTGAGCTGCTCTGAAAAGCCCATGGGCGTTGTAAAGTAAAATCTGTTATGTTGAGGAAGAATACTGAAGAAGAGAAAATCATGGTTGCTCTGTTTCTATTTCCTGTGCTAAAATACTAATTTTTTCACCTTTAGGAGGAATATCTTTCTCTTGTGGCCAGGCTTATTATCCATTTTCGAGATATTCGTAAGTAATTGTTTTGTTTTGTTTTTCTTTCAGTAATGGGATTGCTTGTCCCATCCTTCCCAAAAAAGTGTGTGTGGTTCTGCATGTGACTCTTCACAAGTTGCTTTAAAAGTTTCCCTCTAATAGACATGATTAATTTCTAAATACTACTTATTTTACACATCCATCTATAATTGAAAAGTCTGAGAAATTGTTTAAATTTAGTACTTTTTCCACCTTCCTGGTTTTTTTCCTGTATTTTTGCTTTTTTTTTACATTGATTGTGTAGCATCCTGGCTAACAAATTGGCTTAGGTTAATGTGTTTTGTCAGAACCACAGTAAACACTGATTTTTTAAAATTATTATTTTTAAAAATTATTATGTGAATATATTTCTTGTAGAGAGTATATCTGAATGGCCAAATTTATGCATGACAGGATTAACAAATGCAATTAATTGTTCTTCCTTTGCAGACAATAAGAAATCTCAAGCCTCAGTCAGTGGTAAGAGCTCCTATTTCTTTTTTTCTTCTGTTTTCTTCCTCCCCATTTCTAAATAGAAATCAGGGCACTAGTGTACTAAGAATTGTACTCTGCAGGCTAAATATGCAGTGTTTGCAGCTGATTAACATCCAGCCTAGACAGCTGGAAATTGTTTCATAAGTATTCTTAAGAAAGAGGGGGTGTTGCGTTCTTCACCCAGTGTTGTGTTTTGCCCTCTTGGATTGCCATTCCCTCTTTGACTTCACTTTTCTGTGTGCCCAAGGTTCAGATTATGACAATTACCTTGAAAGGCACTGAATTTAACCACTGCATAATGAATGTGATGTTACGGGGGGAACTGTATAGTAAAGTAGTAGCACTGCTTCTCCCTGTTGACCTCAGGAGGAAGAGGCTAGTTGGATCCACAGTGGGACTCTCTTCTTGGTTTTTGACGTTATGAGCTGTATATCCTCATGGAGTTTTATTGACAGCTTGTTTTGACTTGTGTGTAAATTCAGAGGAGGCTAATAAATTCCTTTTCTCTAGTGTATTTAGAATGTATTTGGAACTTGGCAAATCTGAAGCACTTTAAATGATCTCCACTCTATTTACAAGAGGCAAAGATGTGCCAGAAGCCTCTTGTGGTCTCACAGGCAGAGCAGTGGATGTTAGATTCTTAAGGTGCTGGATCTAGTCATGATCTGAAGCTGACAGATCAGAGTGGATGATGGAGAACAGAGGATTTTGGGGAGGCAATTACATGGCTGGCTACATATTGATAACTATTTTCTTTGTAGATCCGATGAATGCCCTGCAGAATCTAACTGGGGGTCCCCCAGCAGGGGCACCTGGAATGGGCATGGCTGCTCGAGCTCAAGGAGCACCGATGAGTGGGATGAGTGGCCTTGGTCCAATGGGACAACAGATGAGTCTCCCAGGGCAGCAGCAGCCACCTCCAGGAACCTCGGGAATGGCTCCTCACGGTATACCTGGTGTCTCTACAGCTACTCAGCCGAGTAAGTTTACTTCAGCCACTGAAATTGTTAGATCAGCTTTTCAGTACATAACTCTTTTCCCCAAGGAAAGGGTGCTGAAGAGATTTTGTACTTCTGGCTATATCAGCCAAGTGAACTGTAGGAAGAATTGATTTCAAATACTGTTACCTAATGGGATAAATGTCTTCCTTAGTATGACAAGGAACAGTCTAGCTATTGTATGAGCAAGTGCTTATTTTGTCCTACAAGATGTCAACATCAGAATTTTGTTTTCGTACAGCTCACCTACGTTTCCTAAGGGTACAGTGTTTCCTGCTGGTGACCTCTGTGTACATTTCCTCCTGCACGTTTTTACCTAGGTTGCTGATTCAATATAGGCAATGAGAATTAGAGGTTCATAGTAGGAAGTGTCATTAACTCTACTGTACAGGTACCTCATCCATTTGAGGAAGTGAAAGTATATGCTGCTAGTGAAAAACATTAATGTACTTTAGGGATTATCTTCAATTATTATGAGTTATATTGGGTAACTGTCTCTTGCACAGTTTGGGTGTCATGTTTTAAGTACAGTCTACCTTCTTTTCAGCCCAACTTCAGCTTCAGCAGATAGCTCAGCAGCAACAGCAGCAGCAGCAGCAATTCCAGCAGCAGCAGGTGGCTTTGCAGCAGCAGCAATTCCAGGCCCAGCAGTCAGCCATGCAACAACAGTTTCAGGTCCAGCAGCAGCAGGCAGCAGCAGCTGCAGCAGCCCAGCAGCAGCAGCAACAACAGCAGTTGCAAGCCGTCCAGCAGCAGCAACAGCACATGCTGAAACTGCAGATGCAGCAGCAGCAAAACCAACAGCAGGTGATGACAACCAATTACAATGGCAATTGAGGTGATCTGTGTTCAGTTAGGGGTCAAGTGAGGCTTGGCTTGCATGGAAATGCTGAATATCAGCTCTGGGTGTTATTAACACGTTTCCACTTTGGGATAGGACTTCAGTTTAGATTTGCAAGTTAATTGGCAACAATATATTACATCCCAGAGGAGAGGCTTAACAGTTGTTGGGTTTCTTTCTTCTCTCACAGCAACAGAGAATTAAAACCCTCTCTCTTTATGATCATTAGGGTAGTCTTTCATTCTGACAAGAACAGGGATGTGGGAAAGAACTAAAAGCACTTGTATTACTGGAAAAATAGTGTCTGTTTTGTCATTGTGTGAATTACACATTGCCATTCTAAAAAATGTATGCTGAGCATGTCATATATGTGTGTGTATGTGTGTGTATGTATATATATAATGCTTAGACACAAAAGCAGAAGAAGAAACTTCAGCTGTCATGCTTTTGTGCAAGTTTATGGTAAATAGTGGTGCTGATGCAGGCTGGTTACATTTGAAGAAGTGCTTATGAGCCTGTTTGTACTGGAGAAGCCGATGGTCTTCACCTTTGTTTTTGAAAACTGTTCTAGTAGTGAGACAAGCTTGTAATATTGAAACCACGGGATATGCACTATGTAGAGTTGAGATATATGAAGAGCAAGTGGATAAAAAGGTTGGGCTTTCCCTTTGGGCTTAAAGCCTCAGCCTGATGTACTAGGATTCTGTTTGCTCTTGGTTTATGCTATAAAAACAAGGCTGCTGTCGCATTGCTGGAAGCTTTAGCATCCTGGCTTTTCCTGCTTTTCAGATGCAGCAGCAACAGCAGCAGCAGCAACTACAGCGACTTGCCCAAATGCAGCAGCTGCAGGCAGCACAGGCTATGCAGGCACAACAGCAACAACAGCAGCAGCAGCAGCAACAGCAGCAACAAATACCACAGCAACAGATACAGCAGCAGCCACCTCAACAAGTAATGCAACAGCAGATGCAACAGATACAGCAGCAGCAACAGCAGCAGCAGCAACAACAACAACAGCAACAACAACAACAACAGGTTGCTCAGGCACAACAGTCTCAGCTTCCACCACAATCCCAGCCTCAACCCCAGCCCATGGTGTCTCAGCCACAGGCAATCTCAGGACAAATTCCTAGTCAGGTTATGCCTGTTACTCTTACTCCACAGCAATTAAAAGCAATGCAGGTAAGGGCTAGTGACCAGCTGATTGTTGGTTCGTTATGATCCTCTAGAGAAATTTTTAAAAATTGACTTTTGATAATAATGAGTAGGAAAAAACACAGCTTATTAAGAGATCTGTAGTTAGCATGTTATGAATACAGAGGTTGTAAAGGTTTATGCCTGGGCCTGCCAGTAGAGGACAGTTTTGTGTCTAAGAGTGTGACTTCTGAAAATCAGTCAAAATGATTTATGAAGCTATATTTTAAAGTAATTTCTGGTCTTACTCTTGAGTGGACAAGTAAAAAAAGAAAAAGAAACAAACTCTGGTTAGAGAAAAGTCACCTCCATTATGTTTGCTGTTCTAGAACATGAGCAAGTAAGTGCTTTGGAGCGCCTAGTGCATGAACTGGAGCCAGTGTTGGCTCTCTAGCATGCTGGCTTTGCTTCTGCTGCCATGTTTAGAGGTTTTTGTCAAAGTTTAAGATACCAGTAGTTCCTGCCTTGAAGAGAGTGTGGACAAGACAACAGTTTTATTCTGTTGAACCTCTTGCTGGGTCATCCTCTTAATGGTGTAACTCTTTGAACTCTTGCATTACAGTCAGTTTTTTCTGGGCTCCATATGTGCTGTTGAGCAAAAGCTCAGACATCAACCCAAGACCTGCTTTTCTTTGGGCCTTACTGGGGAGTAGTGGAGCATCAGCCACACTCAAAATTATTGACCCCATGTGGACGAGTTGATGCACCCAGTTAGTGCTCCTCCCAACTAAGCTAAGAGTAGTTAGGTGTCATGTACGTCACACTGACAGTCATAACAAATGTATAAAGATTTGAAGTGCTGGTCATTAATATTGTGCTCGAGGGAAATCAACACCTATGTGGTTAGCTATGTTTGCCGGAAAGCTGAGATATCTCATATTGTCACAGGAAGATCTGATAGTACAGGGAAGAAGTTGCAAGAAGAAATCAAATATTGCGTGCACAGTCTGTGGGAAGCTTGTTCTAAATGTTAGAAACGTGGGAACTTGTTTTCATAAAGAAAGCTCAGAAACTCTAGGAAGAGTATATATGTGAGGCTGATCTTGTCTCCACACACTTTTTTGTGAGTATAGTCAATCTAGTTGAAACAGGAGTGTCATACCCTAATCAGTTACATACATTTACTTTGTTCTTCCTTTTCATACTCAAGGTAAGAGCTCAGCTGGTCCAGCAGCAGCAGGCAGCAGCAGCAGTGCAAGCAGCTCAGGCCCAGGCTGCTCAGATGGGAGCTTCAGGGCAGGTAAGGGCCCAGGAGCCATTATCACTAGTTGTAGGCCTGTGGCAAGTGCATGCTAGAGATGAGCATGGAGGTGGGTTTCTGGTGGCTTTCTGATGAGGGGTCTGACATCAGTCATCCCCTTTATAAAGGGGATATGGGCTTTTATGCAGTTTCTCCTTTGCCTGGAGTCAGAGGCAGGATTTTGCTGACAACCTCTCTGTGCATGCTCTCTGTCCCGAGTAGGTAAGATTGTTGCCTGTACTGGCACAAGAACACACATCAGTAAGATGGCCTACTGTGGTCAACCTGCAAGTCTGACTGTTGGTACCTGGAGCGTGTCACCTCTTCTTTTGTTAAGCTTTCTTAGGTGACTGCTTTGTTGTGTAAACTGATTTCTGTACTGTGAATCTTTGCCTGCTGTCTTTACTTACATCTGATTTACCTTCCACCTCCATGTATTGAACGTAAAAAAATAGTATAGACTATGAAATCTCTCTATGCTCCCCTTTCATTCCTTTCCTCTTTCATTCTTTTCCTGAGTGAAATGGGCAGTAGATATAGATTGCTCTTGTTCTGGATGTGAACTGTGAAGAAAAAATGGCATGTGTCACAAGTGCAGAGTTACATTTTTTAAAAAGTGCTGGGTGAGAGCTTATTGTCTAACACAGTTTTCTTATCCTGCAATACACTTGTAGCCCCAGTGATTGTTCCTTGATGTGTGTCTGGTATGAAGGAGACAAGGGGAAAAAAATTGGGAATGGCTTGAGCTGAACCTCTCATCCCATTTTCCACAAGAATATGAAATAGTCTTTCGTGGCTTACCTCTGTAGTGTTTCATATTGAGGCATTTTACAGACATGGGTAAGTACAATTATCACCACTTTGTAGATGAAGAGACTGAGGCAGACAGATGTAATGAGGTTAACTAGGATTAGTGGCAGAGTTCTCGTTGTATACCTAGATGTTCCATGTCTGCATGCACCATTTTCCCTTCAACACACAAGTAATATTGTGTATTCAGTAAGATGTTGGGAAGCTTTTTACATGGACTGTGATAACAACTGGTTCTTCAACACACATCTCCCAGACTTGTATCAGGAATAGCATCTTGTACCATCATAACTCTCATGTGGCCCACATCCTTGTTGGTGGCCAAGTTCTGTTTCTGTATTGGTCCTTTTGCTTGTGTCAACGTAATGCAGGATGTAAAAGCTGAGCAGTGGTAAGTACAGTTGCTACAGTACTGGCAGCAATGCAGAATTCTCTTTCTACAGTCAAAATGTGAATTAAAACTTCTGTTTGTTTCTTAAGTAATTTCCAGGTTGGAGCTGCAGGGACTTAGGCTTACTGGAAGGAGCAGACTGACTTTTTTTTTCTTTTTACTAACTTAATGGTGCTCTTTTCAACTTCTAAGGAGGTGGACTGGACTTATGTAGAGCCAGTTCAATTCTCATCCTGTTTACTGAATTCATGTGCCAGCGGCTTAACAGCACAGTGCATTTAAAAAGTTTCGGGTGATAAGATGGTTGTCAGTGGATTTTGTATTGCAGCTTTATTCAGATGGGTGGTAAACTTGGGGATTGCTCATTATCTGTCATGGACTGAGTTTAGGAAATTCAACATTCAGGCTTTACTCCATTTATGTTCATGCCATTGCTGTATGAGTCTACTAAAATTCACTTAATGCTATGAAGTCCAGTAATTAAATGAGTTTCTTGTATTTGTGTAAATATTTTCTGTATAAAATCTAAGATTGTGGCTGTGTATAATATTACAATGCAGCTTTGGTGTTGAGAGTGTATATGTATTTTCTTTAATTTATAAGTTTATTTTAAGAGTAGATTTTGCTTTGTATTTAGTACATTTTTCACTAGCACCAGCATTTTTAATAAATCAGGCTTGATTTTTTTTCATTTGGTTCGGGAAAGCTTTTGTTATGAAAAAACTCTATCCTAGTCTTTGCTTGTTACATTTAAACTTAGACTCCGGGGGCTTTCAAACTGGGAATTTTCGTTGATAGGGCTACATTTTTCCTTTTCTGTAAAGTTTCTGTTCATCCCTCACACGTAAAAGTAAAAGCAATCCCAGGTTTAAACATGGATCCATGTGAGTTTTGAAGTGCTCTGAAGTTGTAAAACCACGGTGCAGGTCAATGTTACCCTGCTTGGGTGTCTAGTCCTTGTGAGTGTGTAACTCACAGGTGAAGCTGATAAATAAACTAAGTACTGTCCTAGTGATCACAGGGTGCTACACAAGTGCTTGCAGCACCAAGAGAAAATCTGTAATCAGCTGGAGTTAAGTATAAATAAAGTTTAAATCACTGTTCTGGTGCAACTCCTTCAGGTGCTCAGAAAGCAGATTGGCTTGTTGGTCTTTGAAAATCAGAGCTGGCTTTAGTGGAGTGACAGTGGCACAGTGCTTATATATGCTCACCAGAAGCTGCATATTTATGGAATTCTGAATCTTTGGATTTTAGATGAAAGAAAATTACAGGTTCAGGATTCTAATTTTTGTATTACACTTCATTTTTGTCAGAAAATAGAGTTTGTATCTTATAGTAGAGTGTCTTCCTCTGCTTGCTCTCTGCTTTTATGGGGTAAAATTCTTGATTGTGTGAATTGAGACAAATCAATTTAATTTGTGGAGCAGGATTTGCCTTCAGTTTGAATATTTTTCTAAAGTACTTGAACACTTTTGGTTTTCTTCTGGTTTTAGTTCATGGATATATTGCTTTGCATAAAACAGATGCAGTCTTTGGAACCCCCTTTTCTTACTCCTTTGTCAAAAGGTCACAGGTTTCATAAATATAAATCAGGTGGAGAATGGGAAAAAATAGGTTACTGTTGTTAAGAGAGTGGAATTGGTGTCATTTTATATATACCCTCACTCTCCAAAGCACACATTTCAAAAAAAACCAAAAAATGCAAAAAAATCAAAACCAAAATTGTGTGCAAGTGCATACGTATTTGACCAACAAACGTGCTGAAAGCCTTTGAATTGGAGTTTGATGCTGGTGTTCAGTGGTTTGCCAGACACTTAAACAGTGACTATGCTTCTAATTTCCTTGACCTCCCAGGAGGTAATGTGAATCTTCACACTTTGGTGGTGTGGCATGAGAAACAGGACCAAGATGGGACATGTGTGTCACCTTAACATCCCTGGGATTTCACACACTCCAGAGATCCACGTGCATTCACAAGGGTCTAAGATGGGGTGATTGTGCCTGGAAGGATATGTTGTTGTTTGTTTTTTTTTCCCTAGCAATCCTCCCCCCGCCCCCCATTTTTTTTTTTTAATTAGGGTTGTGTTGCTTCACCAGCTCTCATGTTGATACTGTAGCTCTTCACTGCACTTTGTAGCATCCACCTGTGCTTTTTGCCAGTGCTGGGTTGTTGTGTTTGCTTGTGGTGGCTGTTGCATGCAGTGTGTGTACAAGTGCATGTGTGTGTGATGTCTGAAGTGCTCTCATTTGTTTCCCTTTGAAATCCTGTCTCTGACCATCCCTTCTCCTGGATGGAAAGGGACTGCATTGCTCTGATGTTGTGAACTAACAGCTGTGCTGATTTTGACACTGTTTTCTTTATCAGTTATTGCTTTCCTTTTTCAGTCTTGTTATGTTGTATTTAATTTTATTTATTTTTAACAATTGTAAGCACATGCATTCTCTGATTTTGTAGAGATGTGTTGCTGGCTGCTTCAGTCCATTTACATGCAACACTAAACAAGAATGCCCCAAACCATTTACTGAAAGGAGACTTCATTAACTCGTAGGTTAGTTAGGGCCTGTGTAGGTTCCTTGGTAATATGTATGCTGGAAAAAAAAAAGTAGCCCAGATAACTTTACTGTCAATCTTTGAAGTACCAAATGGAAGCTCTTATTGATAAATTAATCTGCCCAAGTACTACCTCAAAAATATGCTGTATTTGCTGTAAATTCTCAGCATATATGGTGTAGTACCAAATTTTAAGTAACAGAGGGCTGTACAGATGTATGTGATCAAATCTGTGTGGCTCATGCAGACTGATGGTTCTGAAAGGCACTTCTAGAGACTGCAGAGTAGCATAATAGTCCTAGTGCTATTTTAAAATACAAATCCATTCTAATGCTAACTTTCATCATTTGTCCTAAATGATAGTACTTTAGGGTGCACTCAGTCTTCATCTGGAGAATCAAATAGTGCATGAATAAGCTTGAGGCAGATTTAGGACTCATAAGAGAATATTTTAGCACAGCTTAGTAATAGACAAATGGGTATTTGTCAAAATGATGGAAATTACAAGGATATATTTGATTTATTCTGTGGGTTATAAAAGGAAGAAGATAACTTTTTCAAACCCAAAAGTCATTCTTGTTGTCTTTGGCATTGTTATGCTGTCATAGGTTAGGTTGGTCTGAAATTTTATGCACTATGGAGTGTTCCTACTGACAGTTGCTGTTTAACTGTCTGCCAAATTCTTTTATAATCAAGGATGGCATATGCAAATACTGCTAAATCCTTTGAGTCCACAGCAGGGGAACCCTATGACACTATATAGCTTCTTATATGAAGCATTTTTGACAACAATCTTAGAGTACTTATTTCCAAGAATTCTAGAAATTCAAGATGTCAGGCAAAATTTAGGAAAAGCCCTTTGTGCAAAGGATAGCATAGTCAGCCCTTGACCGGTGATTCTGAATCTACATATCAACTCTCTCAAGATACCTAGAATTCAATAGATGCTTTCTAAAAATGGATAGAAGGGTTATAAAAAGGAGTTTCATTTATAAGTCTAGCATGTTAGGTTAACCTTTAGAGAAAAAGCTCACTAACCGTCCCTTCATGCTTCCCCTCCCCCTAATTCCTGGAGGTTGCATGTGCTTCTCATCCTGCCAGTGCACTGCATTTCTTGTTTTGCGATTACTTTTGTCTGTTGTCCCTCTGTCCTCAAAGATGATCACCGCACCTATGGCCCGAGGTGGGATGCAAATAAGACCACGGTTCCCGCCTACCACCGCTGTGTCTGCTACACCGCCAAGCTCCATTCCTTTGGGCGGACAGCAAATGCCACAGGTATTTACTGGGTCAAAGCACATTGTGTCAGGAATTGTGCAAAGCATTCACTACATGATTGTATAGCACTTCCTTTCAAGCAAGGGGAAGTTCACTTTTTCATCCAACAGCTAAGTTGCTGGTGTTACTCAGGGTATTGGGCTGTTTAGGTTTTTTGTGGATCCTTTTTCATTTTAAATAATAGGTTTTATGAGAGCTTGGGATATCAAATAAAGCATTTTTAAGGTGGCGTAGATCTTTATTGTAACATTTAAAATGTTTCCTTATTCATAATTGATTCAAGTCGCAAATTATAACTTTGTGGTTTCTGTATAGTCTTTGTCCGTACTCCACAAGTGTGCATTTATGAGTGTTGCAAGTCAATACTGCAGAGTACTGGCCAAATTGTGTCTGGGACCTTACTTACCAAGTGTTCATGCTCTGTATGGGTGCTTCTCTCATTATTAGTAAACTTGGCTCATTTCAGTTTGAGTAGCTTCTTGGCATGTTATCGGGAACCAAGAAGAAAGGAGCTATGAAGCTGTTCTCTCATGGTTGTCTAGGAGAAGCTTCTAGAAGGATTCCACTTGTCCCTGCATCAGAGAAGAACCTGTGTAGGCAGGCTGATGGCACTTACCCAGCTGTTGGTGGAAGATGCATGAGGTCAGAGTACTGCATCTGCCTGGTGCAGGTCCAGATCTGCTAAAAACCTCTAAGTCATATTTTGCAAGCAAAATGTGTCATTTTGAGGGAAAAAGAGAACTAGAATGAAATGGGACTGAGTTCTTACCAGTAATTCACAAAACGAGGCACTGCTCTGCTCTGCAGAAGTTTGCTGAGCCTTACGTGATGGGAGTTGGTTTAAATACGTATTGTATTATGATGGTGGAATAGCGTTCAGCTGTGTTTTCTGTCTGTTATTCATGAACCTCGTGTCTTGTTCTTCTAGATGCTAATTTTCAAGTTTAATACCAGACACAGTTTTAGTTCTTAATACCACTGCATTTTGTTCATAGGTTTAGTGAAAGTTTCTTCACTCTTTGCATTTTTGTTTCCTTTGCAAGCTTGTCGTGGGGCTGTGGGATGTCTGAAACTCTGCTTCCTAGTGCTGCTGCATCAAGTTTAGTAGGCACAGCCTTTTCTTCTCATACGTTTGCTAAGGTAGATACAGTGATCAGACTGACACTGGTAAACAGATCTATTGTTGTTTCTGGTTTAAGATGGATGGTCATTTCAGTCCAGATCATTGTTTATGTGTTAACTGAAATAAAACCCAGGTATAGCTGTTGAGTCAAAGGAGAATTTACTTTGAGCTTTATTCACTGTGGCAGTTTAGATATACTGGGACAATCATCTTCTCTATGAAGTATTCACAATGTTTGGTTTGACAATGAGGCCTTCCAATAGGTATTTAAGTATTAGATTGACTTATATTTAATATTTGAGTCATAACAAAAGACCTCTAGTTTAAGCATTCAGTGTCGTAGGCTGATCTTTTAGTGCTGTCATGTCTGTGGTTATTTCTGACACCAAGTGAATGATCATCAAAGAGTGCTCTAAGTAGCATGCCAAGGATTGTGAAAATGATGTAGAAGACTGAACAACTAGAGAAGGCAGAAGAAGGAAATTTCTTTATGAACAATGATTGGAGTGAAAATGGCTTCTAAGCAGGTGTTCGGACGACTGAGTCATGGTTTAATGGTGGTGGGAAGCATGTTTTTAAAGCCAGTCTGACATGCCATGTACTAGTCTGCCAAAAGATTTTGTTCAGGTTCTAGGTGGATTAGAAATTAGAAATGTTATCGTTTATGCCTCTTAATTTCCTAAGATGCTTTAATAACACTGTTGGATATGTTATAACTTCCTTGTCATCAGAGCCATTGCAGCTGTTCACAATAAGAGTGAAGGGCTGTAGCATATATCTGGTTATTAATTATTTAAGAGCCTGTCATCTCCTTGACTACGGTATCAAAAGTCTTTTAGACTACAGATAGGTGGTTCAGATTGTCTTTTCTCTTTAGGAAAGAATCTTGGCATTGCGCTGAAGAATCTCTCTCAATGGAAATACCAGATGTGATATCAATACTGCATGGCTATTTATTTTTACCCTATATGACACAAATGTCAGTCTGTGCATTTTTATCACAAAGCTTAGTTGATTCTGCAGTGGTTTTGTTTGTTTGTTTAGGGTTTTTTGTTATTATGGTCTTTTTCAATCAAAATAATATGTTTACTGATATGGCATTGCATTCCACAACCTGGTCTTTTGAATTACCACAGTTAGAACTGACTTTTTTTCTTAGCCAAAGTTTGTATGTGCCTGAATTGTTATCAAACATGAACTACAATCAGTGTTAGTGGCACTTTTTGACTAGCTAAGAGAAGTTTCTTACACCGTATTTGGATTGGCTCAAGAAACCTGCGGAGCTTGAAATTTTAAAAGATTAATACTTAGCTGTTGCTTTAGCAACTGGATAACTAATGTGCTGATACCAGTCATTCTCCTAGATTACTAGTGTCAAAACCTTCAAGTTCTGTCTAGAAATTTATTGTAGTCTCCAATGGTATGAGCTTCCAATTTATTGTTGGCACAGAAATCTTCAGCAAACTGAAAATATAGGAAGAAAAAAAAGTAAAATCGAGTTAATTTGAAAATAAAATAAGGGATACTGGCCTGAGTGGGAATATAGAAACCTGTATCTGGACTTATTTGAAGCTCTTCTGAGTTTCCATTTTGTCACATAAAGCAGCATAATGGTGAACTTTAAACCCAGTTTGCAACAGAGTAGGCAAGGCTGTGCTTACTGGCTTAGCATTGAATCTGTCAGTACAGTAGTGTAAATGCTTTCTAGAGTTTCCCTTTAGGCTAAAAGTGTTTCTACTGTTCCTCACTATTACCCGTCACTTCCTTGTTGCAGTCCCTTTTCCTTGCTCTTAGCTTCTGCATATTGTACTCTCTTGCTGCTGGGACCTTCTGAAAAACTCTCACTAGCCTTATGTACGGAGTGCTGTTCCTTGCCTGAAGCTCAGCAAGCTGGAGGTAGGCCTCACAGCTAAGTTTATCTTCCAGCATGGTGTGCTCTAAACACTAAGAGCAGCTTTGATTTAGTGGATATTAAATGCAGAATTTTGTTCATGCAAGCCTAAATATCTTCTGGGCACGACTTCAAAAAATTAGGGCTTAGTGTCGTGATCAGGTCACTGTAGAGTCGCAAAGTAAATTCACGTTCAGTGGGCTGTGATAGCTGTCCATGAATATGCTTGTAGGTGCAGAAACTCTCATCCTGCAGTGAAAAAATAGGTAGTTGCATTTCCTTATATATGTTGAAGATGAAATGGTCATGGCTTAACTGGGGAGTTAAATGAGGAGCTAAATGAGCTCATTGGAGTTAAAGCTCCAGAGGGAGGGTTTTTTGTCTTTTGGGTTTACTGTGTATTTTTTGGGTTTTGTTTTTTAAGCCACCTTTTTAGTGAGACTCAGTTGGAAAGAGCATTCCCTAGAAGCTGAAATTTCATTAGATTCTTATAATCTTAATCCATATCCTGCAAACAGTGCAGAAATCTAAAGCTGAAAGCGTCTTTAGATCTGTTCTATAGAAAGACATCTGAAATTATTATGTAGCAAATTAACTGCTTTCGAAGAGAAGTAAGGCAGTGAGTTCAGAATTGCATACTTCTGAGTGTGTTTTTGAAAATGTCACAATTTTGCTTAATATTAGACATTAGCCTTCAGTATTCTGAAATGAAGCTGACAGAGGGCAAACCTGTTGCAAGAAGGAAAGCTGTTTGCCTGTGCATGTACTTAAATGAGAAGGGGTAACGCGAAAAGATCTGATTTGTTCTATACTTATATGCACAGTAGATGCTGCATGACCTTTTCTTTGCTTTTCTGCAGCATTTGTAAATTAATGTGAAGGGAACTTGGTGTTGAATATACAGATACAGAAGCTTAAATCTGGCAAAAAACCTAATGAAATCTTTCTCCTTCCTTCCCAAAAATATAAGGACTTAATCTCTTAGAATTAATTTTATGTAACCAACTTGAGATATTTAAAAGGGGCCTGATTTTCAGGAAGTGATGAACCACTCAAAAGTGGTCTTAATTTGACTTAATGAAAAATGCGTGCAGCATCCATATGGGTAAGTTCTACATCACTTGCTGTTTGACAGAATATTAAATAGAATTGTAAGAAAAAACAGGGAGTGCTTTTTGCAGTGTTCATCCTAGCTTCCTTCCAAACAGTGGTGGGATGCTTGGCTCCTGTAGGAGGCAGACTGTACTTTTCAATCTCAGAAATGGTTTTCCAGCTGTTGGGGAGACACATGCCATTAAAGAATCCACCTCCTGTGAAAAACAGTAAGCACAGTCTCAGTATTTCTTGATTATGGAGAAAAGAAAGATATAATACCTGATTAAAAACAGCATTTCAGCCTCACTTGTTCTAGGTTTTATCTTTTTAGGAGAGGCTGCTGTGGTAATGGGGTTATTGAAGATGGAAAAAAAAAATTGTGGAATGTCAGACTGCATTTGATTTTAAACTATGCTTTAATGGTAATAAGCTAATGTCTTTGAGTTTAGTAGTTTTACATTTGCACCTAGCTGGGGATTGTTTGGGTCCATTTTATTTTTTAGTGGAGTGCAACCTCTTGCATAGCTGTGATGCGTTATTCCAAGCAAAGCATTTCCTGTCATATTCAGTGCGTACATGCAAAATTAGACCATGTGATGCTGTTTAATGTGCTAAATATCATGTCCTCTGGAAACAATTGGTTTATTTAGATGGATATTTAACGAGCAAGTGAAGGACAACACCAAACTGGAGTGCCCATGAAGTGTCTGGGACTTCTGGATTTGTTGGGACCTTTTGCTTAAAAATGGTTCAGACTGAGGGAAACTGAGCTGTTAATTCATAAAGGTGCAAATCAATGACTTAAAGAATGCATGCATGGGTTACTGAGTCACAACCTGTAGCCTCTGCAGCTAATTCAGTTTATCTTTGTATGTACTTACTTATAGCCTCAGGTCGTAAAAACTCTGCATGTGCCTTAAACTTGATCACTTAACATCTGCATTACTATGCTCCTGACCATGATACAGGTTTGGTTTTTTGGTTTTAAGTGATAAAGGGGAAAAGTGTCCATTAGAACAAATGTGAGAAGTTGCTCTAATTTGAGCATCATCTGGCTCTGTCACTGTAGAGTCTACAGAAAAAACTTAGTTGTAACCCAGAATTTGGTGCTGTTCTGGAAATGTTCCTATTCATCTTTGTGTCCTTTAGGCTCACCTCATTCTTCTCCAAAGGTCAGAAAGCCACTTTTTTTTTTTTCTTTTTTTTTTTCTTTTTTTTTTTTTTTCCTACCCTGACATGGAGTTTGGAGTGTTTCTGTCTCCACCCAGATTTTCAAAACTTAATATTTAAACAAGATGTTGGTGGTTTGGCTTAATTTTTTTTTCTTCCTTCTTCCTAAAGAAAAACCCTGGGGAAGCTACAGTCAAGTCTGACAGACATTTGAAGACTGTCATTAAAATGTCAAATAAGGAGGGGTTTTAATGGCTGTTAATTCTAAAGTGAGAACTGTCTTTTCTTCCTGCTCTTCTTTACTCCAGTTCTAATAAATTACAGGTTTTTAGATGGCACTTTCTGACATTTTAATTGCAACATGATGGTTTGGGAAATGAAAAACAATTATTATACAGTTACTCAAATTATGTGCAGTTTTAATGGTTATTTCTAGGAAAGTTATGAAGTGCTTCCCTGAGAGCCTCAAGAGTTATACAGGTAGGACTGTCGGTATGGGGGAGAAGAGGAAACTAACGCTTTCATTCCTTGTAGGCCTGAGGATATGCTTCTCTGCCTAGGTAAAGCCTTCTAGTTAGGTTCCCATCCTCTGCTCCCTTTTGTTGCTGTTAATCTTATCTCTTTCCACATTTCAGGTCAGCCAGAACAATATTACCATGATGTCATCCCCATCTCCCGTCCAACAAGCTCAAACACCCCAGTCAATGCCTCCGCCACCACAGCCACAGCCATCTCCCCAGCCAGGCCAGCCAAATTCTCAGCCAAATTCAAATGTCAGGTGAGCTGCACTGCGACTTTTGAGGACCTTTTGTCAATGCCATAAGGGTGAGGTTTTCAGAAGTGTGCAATATATCTTACTCTGTTTCCACTGAGGTGAATGAATTTTAACATGAACTTTGGTGAGAGCACAGGTGGGATTGTGCCGAGTGCAGTCTGAAAACTCCCATTTTAAATGAAAAGCTATGTATGAAATCCTCACCAAGTCTACTGGCAGAGCTACAGTGCCGTAGCAATGCCTACTAAAAGCCTATCTGCTCACAAGCTGATCATGCTTCCTTGTCAGATTCTGGCAGGTTTGATTTTATGCTTTTTTTCAGTTCTGGCCCAGCTCCATCACCCAGCAGCTTTCTCCCCAGTCCATCTCCACAACCATCCCAGAGCCCAGCAGCTGCACGAACACCTCAGAACTTTAGTGTCCCATCCCCAGGTCCTTTAAACACTCCAGGTAAATGATCTGAGAACTATACTGCAGTGAGTTGGGGTATGTTTTGGTAACTGTAATAGTTCCCAGGAAACCTGTTGTTGTTCAACACGATGTAAACTTTAAAGAGCTCTACAAGGCAGCCAGCATTGCAAGTAGTGAACATGATGTAGGCACCACACAACCCAAAACCTTGGATATCTCAAATCAAAATCAATTGAAACCTCTTTTCTCATCACTGAACTATGTAATGGGTTTTTCTGACTTCCCCAATCTTTTGAAAAAAGTATGATATTTAATTTAATGGAGCAAGTTTGTAGAGGCATAGTGATTCCTTGGTTCCGTGCAGGAAGGAACCCTTAGCAACAGCATGCAATTGTAAAGTATGTAACCACCTAATCACAGGTGGCAGGCTGCTTTGGTCCAAAACACCTTCCTAGGTGTACTCTGACACTTGTGCTCTTCTCTCTCTCTCAGACGTAATAAGCAGTTTCTGATACTGTGAATGAAAGTAACATACTGGCTCCTTCTCATACCAGTGTTATGTGCTCTGCAGTTTGGAAGGCACCAACTTAAGGAAAACTGCAGCAAATTCTCTGTGTTGATTTAGTGTTTAATGCACCAGAGTGAAGGCAAAATGAGGACCTAAAAAATGGGTATATGAAACTTTGGACCTTTTCACAAAAAGATGATATTAAATGGGAATTGCTGTTCTGCCCACAGAAACACAGAGACTGGAGGGTTGGACAAGCACTTAAACTGTGGAGGGCGTCCAATTGTGGATTTGGATATTTGACATGAGCTGACTTTGAGAGTGCCACACTTCAAATCTAGTTTCTGAAATGTGATAATGCTGTTCTACAGTATCTTTTATTATCCTTGTGACATGCAGTCTTTGCTTTTTGCCAGGAAATCCAAATTCTGTCATGAGTCCAGCTAGTTCTAGCCAGTCAGAGGAGCAACAGTATCTGGAGAAACTCAAACAGCTATCAAAATACATTGAGCCACTCCGGAGGATGATCAATAAAATAGATAAAAATGAAGGTGAGGTTCCCCATATTTAGTCATGCATTTCTCTCTGTAAGCTCTCTCTTCTGATGAAAGAAGCAGTACTTTGCCTTTTGTGGTGGTTTCTATTCCAAGGATTTAAAATGACAGTGAAAGTTCGTTGCACTTTCTTGCCTATGACTGTAATACTGAGAAGAGTGGGTAAAATCCTCATCCTTAAATTCTCATAACTTTTCCTTTACTTCTAATGTGTTTAAGATACACAGAGCTTACGCAATGGATGAGCTTATGATTAGATGGAAGATCTTTGATCCTCACTGTTTTCTCCAGTGTTGGCTCATGTTTTCACTTCTGACAGTATACTCTATTTCTGTCTGCAAGTATGGAAGCGATTCTTGTAGTCAGTGTTTGTGTCTGTGATATTATTTCAGATAGGAAGAAGGACCTGAGTAAAATGAAGAGTCTCTTGGATATCCTGACTGACCCGTCAAAACGGTAACTCTTTTTCCTTTTGGCTGGAGATCAGATTCCCCAGCTCTTCCAGAAATTTGTTGTTTAGCATCCAGCCATGTTGGCACTGAAGCTGTCTGTGTGGCTCAGTTAGCAGAAACCCTTCTGCTGAGGTGACTGTTTTGTGGTGATGAAATTTCTCTTCTTCTGCAGGTGCCCTCTGAAGACACTGCAGAAATGTGAAATTGCTCTGGAGAAGCTGAAAAATGATATGGCTGTGGTACGTAATGCTTTGCGCTATCGAGAGATAAGCAATTAATTCCAAAAGGTCTTATGATTTGGCAAGATAGCTTTTTGCATTTCTTGTTGCTCATGCTGTTAAGACTTCAAGTAAGATTGAACAAAATAAGAAAACAGGAAAAAATGGGCAAGCAGTTACTTCATGTAAGTCGCTTGTATACATCTTTTAACTGAACTTTCAAATTCTTGTGCTTTGTGGAAAGACTTGAGTAATTATTTCTATGAACTTTTGCAGCTGATTTCAGGACAGACTCTAAATGAAAGCTGCAGACCGCCTCTTTTTATGCAGTTTTGAGAATCCCTTGCATTTCATGCACTGCAAGCTTACCACTATAAAATTTTGCAGAATCAATAGTAAAGATTTATTTTTTGGTGATGATTAAAAGAAAAAGGGCTTCTCTTGTGTTTTAGCCTACTCCACCACCTCCCCCAGTGCCCCCCACCAAACAGCAGTACTTGTGTCAGCCACTGTTGGATGCTGTTTTGGCCAACATCCGTTCACCAGTCTTCAACCATTCCCTGTACCGTACATTTATGCCAGCTATGACTGCAATTCACGGACCACCGATCACGTAAGTATCATTGACCCACTGTCTGTCTTAAAATGTTCATTATTTAAGGGGAAAAATATTT